TATATAGATATTTATATATATATATATATTATATATCAATCAATATATATATATTCTATATAAATATATATTTAATATAATATATATATAGTATATATATATTTGTATATATATTATAATATTATAATTTATCAGGCCTTGTTTTAAAAGCGTTACGCCTAGAGCGATTTACTTACGCCTTAAGCGCTTTTTTACGTACGCGTAGAGCTGTTTTGGTTAAGCTACTTTTTATCATTTTTAACTTTTAAATTAGCGTAGACATAAAGAGAAGTAATTAATTTTCAAAAAAACCACATTGACTTTTAAATATCGGAGTATGTAAAGAGGTAGTTTATTAAAAAAAAGAATTTACTTTAAAAGTTAATTGTTGTAACTTTTCATCGCGGATATATCTTTCCTTTTATAGCAATTAATTTGAGCGCTAAACTTGTTATCCAAATATTTAGCAGACATGAAAAATTGTTTTGTCAATCCTTAACTACATTGCAAAAAATTTGTAGTTAAGGATTGACAAACAATTTTTCATGTTGCTAAATATTTGGATAAAAAGTTTAGCGTCAAATTAATTGCTATAAAAAGGAAAGATATATCGCGATGAAAAGTTACAACAATTAATTTTAAAGTAAATTCTTTTTTTTAATAAATACCTTTACATATCGTTATTTAAAAGTCAATGTGGTTTTTTTGAAAATTAATTACTTCTTTTATGTTACCGCTAATTTAAAAGTTAAAAAATGATAAAAAGTAGCTTAACCAAAACAGCTCTACGCGTACGTAAAAAGCGCTTAAGGCGTACGTAAATCGCTCTAGGCGTAACGCTTTAAAACAAGGCCTGATATATATATATATATATATATATATATATATATATATATATATATATATATATATATATATATATATATAGAAATACATTGATTGATTGATATATATATATATATATATATATATATATATATATATATATATATATATATAAACATATATATATATAAACATATATATATAAACATATATATATATATATATAAACGTATATATATATATATATATATATATATATATATATATATATATATATATATATATATATATATTTATTATATGTTTATATATTTACATATATATACATATATACACATATATATATATATATATATATATATATATATATATATATATATATATATATATATATATATATATATATATATATATATATATATATATATACATATATATACAAGCACATTTTAGCAACATTTGCAGATGTTTGTGCTAAAATAAAAGAGCATGAGTTATTGCACACTGTCCATTATATATTAGGTTTTACAAGAAGCATGGAAAAAAGCTTTGAAGGTGTTCTCTTTTTCATATTTAAAATATTATCTTATAATGTGTTGTATTGTGTTTATATTATTTTTTAGTTTAGTGATGGGATCGTTTAAATTTAATTAACATGGTTTAATGGAAATAATAATCGTTTTAAAGTTAATTTATAATAAATGGTCTAATAAAAATATTTGTTTTATATGTTTATTTTATATGTTTATATGTTATATATTAAATTTATATGTTTATTTTATATGTTTTTTTTTAAATTTGGTTTTAATTACATTATACAGTTCAGTCCAATGCATTTTGTCTAAAATTAGTTTCTATAATTTGAATGCTTAAGACCCGTAGCAGGCCTTGTTCTAAATAAAAAAAATGCTTAATGCATAGCTTAACACAATATTTGACAACATAAAATTCTGTTAATTTTTTTAGAAATTACTTTTTTTAAATTACTGCAATAATTTTAATTACCTCAAAACAAATTAAATGTTATTTAACGGCTTTTTTTTTTAATACTTTAAGGAAATGCTTATTTTTTTAATTATTTTCAATAATTAAATTTAATATTGCATTTTTATTAAAGTTTGATATTAACAAATTTCTTTTTTTCTCGACATTTGCATAAATGAATTGTTAAATTTAATATGTTAAATTTTTCAGTTTATAAAATGATTATATCTTAAATTTATAATTGCTGCTTTGTGACACTTGCAGATTCTTATTTAATGACCCGTCCACTGAGACAGCGGATAGCTTTAAGTGTGAGAGACTATATTATCAAAATCAATCCAATACCTTTTCTGAAGAGTAATTAAGACTATCCTAAAACCACAAAAACGTTATTTCTCTAATGAATTTCGACAGGGTAGTAAGAAATGATGAACAAGTAAGAGAAGACGACTTATATACTCTCCAGAAACTGATTCAGTTTATTGTCTTCCTTGTCATCAGTTTGACCCAACTCTAAAATCATATTTTGGGAAAATAGAAGATTTCAACAACTGGAAAAAGTTCAAAGAGCAAGCTTAAAAAAGACATCTCCATCTCTTTACAATTAAGGAATGGACTGAAGCAACAATCAGGATAAAAATGATCAAGCTGCCAATCAAGGTCTTATGCAACAATTTTGCATTTCGTGGAAGCTCATTAATGCTGTACACCAAAAATAATGGGAACTTCCTTGGTCTTATCCAATTACTTGGTAAATTTTGATCCAATTTTAATGGAACATTTATGTTGAATTGAAGGTGGAGAAAGATATTCTAATATGGTTGCAATTCGAAAAAGTGTAATACCCACAAGCCTTCACCCTGTGGTTGCCACTGCTTGAACATAGTTATATCAGACCAAGCTAAATCATTAGTGAAGTCTATATTGCCGTTTGGAGTTGTTCAAAGAACCTATAAATTTTTTATCCATCAATCAAGCGCTAGATCTCAAGCACAATAGAACCTTACAAAAAATGCAATTTTCTTACCCCTAATTAGCTCAACTAAATCATTTTTAAAAGGCAGAATAGACAAGTTCTCAAAATAAGAATCCAAGTGGGAATTCTTATATGACCTGAAAAAACCAAAGAAAAAACCTAATGAGAATTATAAAATAAAAATTTTCGAAGAACATCTGACAGTGAAAAATATTTCAGATATAAATGAGGAAGAACTGTACAAATAAAATTCTACATGGCAGTTTGATAGCTACTGTTTTTGACAAATAGTGTGAGCAGAAGGCGGTCAGCAAAACACTATTACAGGCCTTGCGATAAAACGTCGGGCGATGTGAATTTTAGGTTGTCCAAGAGCGATTTTACGTGTAGCTAGGGCTATTTGCGTCGAGCAAAAAATTTTTTGTTCGAGTATATTTAAAGATATTTTTGAACTGAGTTTTAATAAAGTAATTTACGATTATTTTAACATTTAATAAAGTATTTTAAAAACCGCACGCAATTGATATAAAAGTTTGAATTACAAAAAAATTAAATATGCTCATTATTTACAAGTAGAAAAAATTCAGGAAAAAAAAAAGTTTAAATCTTTTTAAGCTAACATTTTAATAAAAGTATTCAGCAATAGCAAAGTTGTCGATAAAATTGAACAAAAATACTTTCTTTTAGTTTTAGATTTTGAACTTAAATAGTTATTTTACGGGGGTTTGTTAGGTTTTAAAATTATTCTATAGGTTTAAAAATATTTATTAACTGTTAGACGTATTTAAAGTATTTAAGAGTAATTTCGAGGAAACATTTTAAAAATTGGTAAGCGCA